ATTTTTTTTAAATATGTAGGTTTTGTTCAGTTTAAATTTTTAGTTATTTTAGTACTTCATCTACAACTAAGCGAAGCTAAGAAGTGTTGCTTTTGCAACTAGCTGAAATAAAGTACGTTTTAATAAGTATTTGTTTTTTTAATTTTTTATACTTCAAGTAAAAAATTCACATGCAGTCTTCTATTCCAGGTGTGGTACGCTGCATCATATGCCGAGTTTGTCAACCAGAAAGTTCATGATGTCACAGATGAAGAGAGAAAAGGTTAATCGTCATTGTCTTTCTTTAAATTAGTAACTGCTGGAAGTGTTATAATTGATGACAATGGTGATTCATTCACATAGCCGCAGGCATGACAAACTATATATTTACTAAGGACATAACTGTTAACTTTCTCAGAGCTCCGTTCATTTTGGGGTTTCAGTACAATAGAATGTATGGTGTGGTCTACATCGTGTCCAAAAAAAAGTTTATAATATAAATGTTAAAAAACAAACTTTTATCATCATAAAAAAGAAACGCAGTTTGAACATGACAGGGAAAATCGCTCTTGTTAAGACAGACTTTTTACTAAATGTATATATGCAGCTTAATTTTAAATATGTGCATTCATTTCAGTTAATTATATTTATGTAATATCCATTGGGAAGAATGTAATAATGCTTAAAGCTTCTAATCACATCACTGAGGCTGGTTACACACCGGTCAAAGCTTAAAACCTTAAATTAATCTAGCAATCAAAAAAACGTTCATAATATATCTATTCATTCATATAACAATAGCAGTCATGAATTTAAAAAGAATCACACTAAATGCTTATAAACTCCTCCTTTAACTATTTAACTTCTAATTTAACTTCCTATTTATTGATTTTACCGAGAACTGTACCCCTAGCATTTACATCTGACCAATGATATTATCCTAGTAATATTGAAAAAATATGTTTCTCAGTTTTACGTGAGCAGGAGAAGAACTGGCCGTGCTATGAGTGTAACAGACGCTTCATGAGCTCAGAGCAGCTTCAGCAGCACTTAAACATGCACGACGACAAGCTGAACCTCATCCAAAGGTTTGAATGCACATCAGTGACTTGATTTCTCTGATGTTCACGATTGTATTCCTGACAGTAGCTATGTTTCCATCCACCTATTTTTATGCGCATTTTAGGATATCGCATAAAAAATGCTGATTGGAAACGCCAAGATGCGCATAAAAAAACGTATGCGCTCAACTAAGTAGGATACATTTCTTATCCGGTAAGAAAGCATGAGCATAAACTACGATGGAAACACTTTTACTGAATAAATTCCTTAATGCGCATCAAAAAAGACATGTGACTTTGCGATGGGACAGCGTAACTGGACCGATCTCATTGCACAGCATCTAAAATGCTAGTTTTGTTATTCTAAAATGCTTGAGCAAAGTCTTGTCAAAGTGCTCCGTTATAATTAACTCTCGGAACTGCGTTCCCAAACAGCAGGCTCTGAAAATAAGATAACATGACTGCGTTTCGTCTGTTCTGCAATTTATTGTATACAAACATTATTATATACAGTGCCTTCTCCCACTGCAGCAAATTAAGTTTTTCTTCGTGATATTTAGTGCAAGTTAATCAGGAAGTAACGATTTTATCTTCAACTCGCTGGATGGAAACAATGCTTTATTCGCAAATGATTTATGCAGTATTCCAATTTTGCGCATAAGTTTAATTCGAAACTTTGGATGGAAACCTAGCTAGTGAGTCCATTGCAGAATCTGGCTAATATTCTTCTCTTCCAGGCCAAAGGGCCGGGGGCGAGGACGGGGCAGAAAACGATTCGGTGCTGCAAGGCGACCGGGGCGACGTACGAAATTCATCTGTCCACAAACTCCTGTTGAGAGTGCTGACAAGACACAGGTACTGTAGACCTCATTTACTCACCATCATGTCATTTCAAACCCGTAAGATTTTCATCCATCTTCGAAACACACATTTTTAATGAAACCTGAGAGATTTCTGTCCCTCCACTGAAAGTCCATTTACCCCAAATTTGATGCCTCAGAAAGTTCATAAAGACATCGTAAAAGTAAACCATGTGAATGGAACAGTTTAAAAAGTCTTCTGAGGAGGCAAAATCGCATTGAACTGATTTAATTTAGGCTTTTATTCACATATAAACATTAACACACACACACATAGAATCATCAAATATGATAACGGCAGCGCAAATTTGTTTGCTTGATGCCGATTGTATTTCCTGGAAAGTTCTCTTTATGAACTTTTAAAAGTTTGAAGATTTTGTAGGAATTGACTGCTAAATGTTTGTCTTGGCACCTGCTATAGGAGCTTTTAGCATCTGTAGATATTCTACCATTTGAGGAGCGAACCGACGGAGCTCTTAATGGGCTGAAGGTGGTAGAAATGGCAGCTGAATCGATGGAGACTGAGACAGAAGAAGGGCTTGATACCCCAGCAACCCACACCGAGGCGCTGCAAGAGGAGGGGGATTTTGTCACCCCACCTCCAACCACAGAAGTCCCAGGGTCTGCCAAAGAGGACCTGTCTCAGACAAGTCCCGAAGACCCCCACCTCACACCGCAGGACATGAGGAGAGCGAGGAGGATTAGGGTAAGATACGCCCGTCATGAGTGACCCACAACCTCAGATCTCTGCATTGTAGTGTGTTGAGTTATTTAACAGTAGCGCGTGTGTGTGGGTGTGTGTCTTTCTCTTTTGTTGCGTGCTGCACGTTAAGGTGGACTTGCAGGTAGGTCTAATGTGGGCCAGAGTGGAGTCAGAGGAAACTTCCTCCTTCAGTCAATACAGTGTTGACAGTCTATGACTCCCTACATCCCCATTACATCTGTCTGTATCAGTTCAGTCCTCAAGCTTCATCAGCCAGCAGAGTTAAAGGACAGCTGCTCCAAAAATGAACATTCATATCATTTAAGAGTAGCCATGTCACCCTGTTTGACCAAAAGGAGATGTTTAGCATGTCATGGGTGATCTTTGCTTTTATAATGAAAGTGAATGGGAAAGGACACTAGGGCTGGGTTGACGGTATTCATTTTGATGAATCGATATCAATTCTTAAATCCCAAGAATCAATCGTTTAGTCAATACTGCTTTCTGTTGATGCATGAACAAAACGTCGCTTAATATTATTTTTAGTGTGCCTTCCATGCAATAATCAAAAAAATGTTGGGCTTTGTTACTTTTAATATGAAACGAAGTCTAAGCTTTTAAATTGTCACTTTTATCATGAAATTCAAACAATAAATACCATTTTGGCACTGAGTGCACATGAACCAGTCATTTCTTCCTCTTAAATTTAAATGCTTATTTTTCAACAAAAAATTAGAGTAGAAGCATAAAAACAGAAAAACAGGCTTATGTGTTTGGTAAGTTTTTGAGTATTGATTATTATATCTGAAACTTAATAGAAGTTGCATTTAATAGTTTGGACTGGTTATTTTAACCATTAATATTGGACTGGTTATTTTAACCTGTGATATTAATAGTAATGTACCAACTGATAAGTACATGTACCTGATATATATCCAAATGAATCAAAATCAGAATCTAATCAAATCAAGATCTTGTGAATTGAAATAAAACTGAATTGTGAAATCTGAATTGTGCTCCAAAAATAGTTGCTCCAAGTTACTGTAAAAATGATTCACACTACTGATACTACAGTTTGGCCAAAATAAAAGCCATATGGTTATGGCTATAAAATAAAAGCATGGAAATTATGACAGCCATGAATTTTAATACTAGCATTGTAAGTCATTCTGTTAAACATCTCCTTTTGTGTTCAATGGGGGAAAGTCTTTTGGGTTTGGAACAACATGAGGGAGTAAATGATGACAGAATGTGTTTTTTTTGTTGTTGTCTGAACTATAACTTAAAGTTACTACTGAAAGATTAAATCATTTCAGCATGCAAACACAACGACTTGTTTCAGCCATCATCTCTGTGACATACAGACCCACGCAAGTGCATTGTGTCATTGCTCACAAATCATATGAATTCAGTGTAAACTAAGTGATTCCTCATCACCCTGCTTGGATTGTTCACCTAGTCGTCTTCTCATTTCAAAAGTGTCCATTCCATGCTTTCTCTCTTCCCTTACCCAGAATGCCGCTCTCCAGCATCTTTTCATCCGTAAGTCCTTTCGACCCTTTAAATGTTCTCAGTGCGGGAAAGCCTTTCGAGATAAGGACAAGCTGGACCAGCACATGCGGTACCACGGGCGGGACGGCTGCCGTCACATGTGCCATCAGTGTGGTAAGGGCTTCCTGACGAACCTGACGCTCGAGGATCACCTGCAGTTGCACTGTGATCAGCGCATCTACTCCTGCCTCTTCTGTGCCGAGTCCTATGACAGATTGGACCTGCTCAAAGTACATGTGGAGGTTCACCTGGTCAACGGCTGCTTTTCCTGTCCTTCCTGCAAGAAAACCTTCACAGACTTCATACAGGTGTGATGTGCTAACAAACAGAATGACACATAATCACAAAGCTGTTTCTAAACCACCTCACTATGACTTTTTTTCTTTTCTTTTAAACTCTTCCTTTCCATTCCAAAACTCTGTAATTATTAAAGAAACAGTTCACCCAAAACTGAAAATATGCAGAAAACTGACTCGCTCCAAGATGAGTTTGTTTCTTCATTGGAACAGATTTGGAGAAATGTAGCATTCCATCACTTGCTCACCAATGGATGCTCTGCAGTGAATGGGTGCCGTCAGAATGAGTCCAAACAGCTGATAAAAACATCACAATAATTCACAGTCCACTCCAGTCCACCAATTAACGTCATGTGAAGAGGAAAGAGTCCATAATCCATAATAATGCTTCCTCCAGCAAAAAAGTCCATTCCCTGTTTGTAGAGCTGTCTTAGACTCTTTTCGCTTGTAAACAGTGATTGATCTGTGCATATTTCTCTCCTGATTCAGACGAAATGTCAAACATCGTTATGATAAATTTATAACAAACGCGCAGCTTTTCACTTCATAAGACATTAATTGATGGACTGGAGTCATGTGGATTATTGTGATGTTTTTAGCAGCTGTTTGGACTCTCATTCTGACGGCACCCATTCACTGGATCCATTGGCTGAGCAAGGGATGTAATGCTAAATACATAAAAACTAAATGTGACTGATTATAGTGGAAGAAACCTTTGATAACAAGTGAATTTTCAAGGGGAAAAAAAGTGATCTGACCTTTTTAATATCTGATTACATGGCAGTATTCTTGTGTTTAATGATGTTTGATTAATCAATCATGTGTCTGTGTTGTGCAGGTAAAGAAACACGTGAGGAGTTTCCACTCAGAGAAACTCTTCCAGTGTATGGAGTGTGATAAAGCCTTCTGCAGGCCTGATAAACTACGACTCCACATGCTTCGCCACACTGACCGCAAGGACTTCCTGTGCTCCACCTGTGGAAAACAGTTTAAGGTGATTCACATATGCCAAGATGCATAAATGTATTTGCATATATGCAAATAAATGCAATGCATTGATGTTTATACATTTTTAAGGTTTTGAAGCCAATTACATTTGTTGCATTTGAAGCTTAGACATGAAGCCTACCTTAGAGTGTGTGTGTGTGTGTGTGTGTTTATTAACTTCTCATTCATTTTGTTGTGTGTTGTTTCTCCTTTGTTGGCTAGAGGAAGGATAAATTACGGGAACACATGCAGAGGATGCACAACCCTGAACGCGAGGCCAAAAAGGACCACATCCACCGCACCAAAGCTCTGAAACAGAAGGAGCCCACCACTGACTTTGAGAGCTTCATGTTTAAATGCCGACTCTGTATGATGGGCTTCAGGAGACGAGGGATGCTGGTATTGAAGTTTCTTTGTCTTCAGTTTATTTATTACATTTTTTGCTGTTTCTTAGCCTTTCCGAAATGAGTGTTTTTGAAATCATAGGCCACTTGTGACCTCTTTGTTTGTTTTCTTACTGTTCTGTCTACAGGTGAATCACCTGTCTAAACGACATCCTGAGATGCGTTTGGAGGAGGTTCCTGAGCTGACGCTGCCCATCATTAAACCCAACCGAGATTATTTCTGCCAGTACTGTGATAAGGTCTGGACTCCTTCAGTTCTACTGGGGTCGTTTATGAGAGCTGTGAGCTCTGCCAATTCTGTCTTACCACCTTCTACGGATCTGCACATTTTAACGCCCCTCTGGTTTTCACATTGGCTGCAGTTACAGCTGACTCATAGAAAGACGATATTAGTGTGTCCTAGAGCCAAGAGACTTGAGCCTCCTCTGAAAATAGAGTTACCATTTGGCTCTTTCTGCATAGTACGTTCATATCAACAGGTTCTCTCTTAAAGTTGATCTTGTAAATGACATTTTTATGAAAAATTCACAGGACAGGGTTCCCATGGTAATGGAAAACAGGGAAATATCAGAGAATTATTGTTTTGAGAAAAAAAAAGTTAGTTTCCAGTCCTGGTCATCAAACATGATCCGTTTGGGATCAGTAAGATTTTTTGTTTTTTAAAGAAGTCTCTTTTGCTCATCAAGGCTGCATGTATTGGATCGAAAATAGTAACATTATGAATTATTATTGTGATTTAAAAGAATTGTTTTCTATTTTAATATACTGTTACATTTTTTATTTTTTATCAGCCATTACTCCAGTCTTCAGTGTCACATGATCCTTCATAACTCATTCTAATATGCTGATTTATTATTAAGGTTGGAAACATCTAAATATTTTTTATATACCTGTATATACTTTTTTTAGTATATACTAAAATAGAATTATTTTATGAATAAAACAGCATTTATTTAAAATAAAAAATCTTTTGTAACAAAATACACTACCGTTCAAAAGTTTGGGGTCAGTAATTTTTTTTTAACTAATACTTTTATTCAGCAAGGATGTGTTAAATTGATTTAAAAAAAAAGTGATAGTAAAGACTTATATTGTTAGATAAGATTTCTATTTTAAATAAATTCTTTTTTAAAAAAGTATCAGCTGAAAAAAAGTATCACAGCTTCCAAAAAAAATATTTTTTTTTAAAGAAGTCTTATGATGAGCATAAGAGACTTCTTTAAAAAACATGAAACATTTTACTGATCCCAAACTTTTGAACAGCACACATACACACAAATTACTGGAAAAGTCAGGGAAATTCATCCCTGAAAGTAATTGTATTTATGAATTATTGTATTATGTTATTATTTTATCTTCACCTGTTCAGGTGTATAAAAGTGCCAGTAAGAGGAAGGCCCACATTTTGAAGAACCACCCCGGGGCAGAATTGCCCCCCAGCATCCGGAAGCTGCGTCCGGCTGGGCCGGGAGAACCTGACCCCATGCTGAGCACACACACGCAGCTGACCGGCACCATCGCTACTGCACCGGTGTGCTGCCCGCACTGTGCCAAACAGTACAGCAGCAAGGTACTGTAGAGTCAGGAATGACATGGTATATATGCTCATGTGAATCGATTGATGTGTCCTAACACATGTCTATCTTTATTTTTAGACAAAGATGGTCCAGCACATCCGTAAGAAGCATCCAGAGTATCAGTACAACAGCAGCATCCAGGCACCGCTGGCCACTACCGTCATCAGCAGCACTCCTGCTGTCATCACAACAGACGGCACTACTGCAGAGGCCGTGGTGGTGAGCAGAATGTGCACGCTCTGACACACTCGAACAAACACTTCAAAGCGATAGCATGAAATCAAAATCTGCCCTATTTACTTTCTATACGAATGTCTTGGGTCTCAATGTTAACATTCAGTTGAATGCTTTAAATTACTGAAAAGGCTGTTGCCATTTAGTGTTGTCTTTAAAGGGGGGGTACAATGCTGTTTCATGCATTCAGAGTTGTTTACACTGTTAAAGAGTTGGATTCTCATGCTAAGCATGGACAAAGTTTCAAAAAACAATTTGGACGTATGAAATCTTATCTAATCTTATCTTAAAATCTTACTTCCGTGTTCGTACAAGTTTCGGAAACTTTTTTTCGATCGTGGCTCTTAATGACGTAAACGAGGGTGGAACTCCTTATATGGGCATTTCTCCCGGAAGAACGCGCCCGCGCACGCATCGACCAGAGAAAAAGCGAGAGCGCGCACAAGTGTGTTTGTTGACGAACGTTTTATAAACAAGGCCCAGTTCAACGCTGGATTTGCACATGGTTTGATACTGAAAGATGGAGCTGTCGAGCTATAAAAGATCCGGGTCATGATTCAGAACTGCAGACGGTAAGTGAAACGGCATTAAATGTCTGTTTTGTTGGCATTCGGCGCCCAAGTGCTCGTCACTCTTTAGCTCCGCCCACGGCGCGCCTCCAGGAGCTCGGCTTTTTTCGGAGAGAATCGTAAAGCTGTATCTTTCTTTTATAAATCTGATAAAACTAAAGACTTTTTGGAGATATGAAGGATGCAGTACTACTCTATAGG